AGAGCCAATCAAGATCAAGAATTAATACGTAGATCATTCTAGAACCCGATTTCCCGATTTGGTATATTCCCTGACTGCAATATAGACCGCAATATTTAATAAGTAGTTTGGCTCTGTAAAGCTCTCTTATTTTCTTAATTAATCACGTAATTCTTATTTAGTGAATCAATTAGTGTTACCTAATTTTGTTGAATGAATTTCTATAAATGGATATAAAACAATAAACTGGTGCATGTAATTTAGAGAATAGTTTGGGCATACCCAAATTATGCGATTATATTGTTTGGACACTAATATATTATGCAGTATAAATTTACGTGATGCATGGTTTGGATACGACAAAACTATATGTTCGATACCTCTAATTTAATTCCACTGAGTTTTATTTAGCGATCATATAGTTAATAAAAATGAATTGTAGTGATATTCGTCAAGAGGTGAGAATAAGCATTTAAAATAAAAATAACCGTGAAATAAATATATATACTTAACAAAATTTCAAATTTATACAATCTAAAGACATATAATTGCAGTGAGGCATATAATTGCAGTGAAACATATAATTGTAGTGACGTTAAACCAGAGCAACAGGCGGTAAGTTATACTGTAATTATAATCAAGCATTCAACAAAAGGAGCCTAAGTTTTATATTATTAATCAATAGGATGTAGAAACAACATCCTTTAGGTCAAAAATCATTCGATTACAAATTGCCAATTCTAAGGCTAAAACAGAAATTGAAACCCTTATAAGTGAGAATTCAAGTTTGCAAAAGGAATGTAATAGTTTGAGATCAGAAAAAAGTGAAAATTTAAATACAATAAACTCATTAAGTGAACAAATTACATTCCTTAAGTCACAAATCGTTGGATTCCAAATTGGCGTTAAAGGAGATATTGAAGCTCTTGTAAGTGAGAATTCGAATTTGCAAAAGGAGTGTAATAGATTGAAATTAGAAAAAAGTGACAATTTAAGTACAATAAACTCATTAAGTGGACAAGTTACATCCCTTAAGTCACAAATCGTTGAATCCCAAATTGGAGTTAAAGGAGATATTGAAGCTCTTATAAGCGAGAATTCGAGTTTGCAAAAGGAGTGTAATAGATTGAGATTAGAAAAAAGTGAAAATTTAAATACAATCAACTCATTAAATGAACAAGTTACATTCCTTAAGTTACAAACTTTTGAATCTCAAATTGGCGTTAAAGGAGACGTTGAAACTCTTATAAGTGAGAATTCAAATTTGCAAAAGGAGTGTAATAGATTGAGATTAGAAAAAAGTGACAATTTAAGTACAATTAATTCATTATGTGAACAAATTACATCCCTTAAGTTACAAACCGTTGAATCTCAAATTGGCGTTAAAGGAG